ATTAATAATTTTTTTAAATAATTTTAATATTTTAATTATTAATAATTTCTTTATAAAAAAGTTATAGAGAATGACAACGTTCTTCTCATTCCAAAATATTGATAATTACAGTATATGACTATTTAACAGAATGTTTTTTCTAGAGAATATAAAGTATGTTGTAATTAAATTTGCAATAGGAACTTTTTCATTGTGTAAATGCAATTCCATTATACCTCTTATATATTTCATCTCTTTATATTATTATTATTTAGGCGAACTATTTTTTATTGCCATGGAAACGTTATTACTGCTGAAAATATTTTCCACAGATGATATTAGAGAAATATTTTCTCCTAACAGACAATAGTATATATGGAACGAACCTGGAGCGGCGGAGCGGTTGTGGTAGCATCTTTCAAGTTTTCTTGTCAAGAGTAATTAACGTTAATCGTTAAATTGTAATTGGGAGCGTAGTTGTAAATATATAAAATAAGTTTATATTATAGAGAGACATATATATACTGTTATATATAAATCTTCAGATGTAAAAATATTATCAAGATTAAGTCTTTAGCATCTAATAATTATACAGCTTCTTACGTTTCAAGCATATTATGCTTGAATATTCCCAAGTTTTTAAAAGCTTATCTTAGTTAAACCACAGTACAAATTACGATATTATATGATAATAACACGATTGCTGCATCAATAGTAATACTTATAAAAATTCATGCATGAATAATCCAATGCAAGACATTTTTTACTAAATTTCTTATGTAAAAAAAAGTGGGGGACATAATTTGTGTTATGTAATTATGTAACATAATATGCTTCCTTGCAGGTTATTTTCAAACTTATTCAATAAAATTGCAACTACTCAGAGCGCTACCAGATAACTGCTGCGTCGCTGTTAAATTATATAGTATTAACTTTTTTTATTCAAACAAAATATACAAATATAAAAAAAAAATATATTAGCTAAATGTGTAACTGCTGGATATCCAAGTAAAGTAATAATGGATATTGAATCCATTCCCTAACTATTCTCTCTAAATTATAAAACCCCTCCCTGAGCATTATGAATATCCAGCAGTTGGACAAAAATGCTATCTACTAGTCTGATAGCAATGGTTAGCCTATCTCAATCATCTCTGTATCTTCCATATTGCTGTGGCCGACTCCACCATGCCTAAAAAATTATTGTCCATACTATTTTTAACTCGAAGACTTTACGTAAGACCTATTACAAAGTCCTATGTATAGAAAAAATATAATCAATAATATATAAGAATTCAAAATTTTTGTATTTTAACCTGTGATTCGGCAAATGCGTAGTGTGAAGATGGAAATGCGTTGTCCGAGGCGAAAAACCGCGCGAAGATGCTTTACGAGGACTTCTGGCTTTTATAACTCGTGGCTGCGACACAGTAGTTAGGTACCGTGATTGTTGCGAATACACATCCTCCAATATGCTCGGTGCTACATATGTAAATCCCTGAAAAAAAGTTTGCATTAAAATACAACCAAATGTGACTGGTTCATGTGGATGGTTGATTATATATATACACACTTAAAAAGAGAAACTCACCTGGAATACTCTATTAGCCGATTCGCTTAAAGTGCATTCTACTGGCGAATCTATTGGTGCTGAAGCGGTAAATTTTTTATCAAATTGCGAGACGTCGTCTTCACTAGCCAATATTGGTTTAAAAGGAGGTTCTAATTTTCGAGATATAACATCATCCCAACTGATATGTTTGAAAAACTTGTGTGCTTTTATTTGTTCGCCATCCAATGAGCCAGACCCCAATCTTTGCGCAACTGGTCTCTATAAAAGTCAATTATATATCTATATAATATTATCATTAAAAAAATTGTATCCGTGTTTTGTTTAATGAAAAGATCTATACATGATGTGTACAAGTATTAAGCTTATAAGATTTGTTATCAAAACATCTTTTTTAACACAGGATTATTTGTTTGAATTAAATGTACATTAATCAACAATATAATAAATAATGTAATTAATTAATAAAATCTAAATCTACATTAATCAATAAAATAATATAATTAATCATCAGTTTATGAATACTAACTTTTAATAATTTCCGAAGAAGGTCTTTGGCATCGGGCGTTAGATATGGTGGAAGAATCAATTTACCACGTAGAATTTTGTCAATCGTTTTCTTTCTGTTATCCGAGGTAAATGGTGGCTGAAAAATTTGTTAATGCCAAATAATATTGTGCAATTATGCACAGCATTATTTAACTTTATGTATGTGCTTATATATGTAATAATTATACATACAAGTCCTGTAAGCATGTCATACATTAAAGTTCCCAAACTCCACCAATCCACTGCTTTTCCATGTCCATTTCTTGTTAAGATTTCAGGTGCCCTTGAATAAAAAAATAATGTTACAATCAGTATAAATTATAATCGCAATATTTCTAAATTATTAGTTATTCGACACTCCTTACATGTACTCAATAGTACCACAGAATGTGTGAGTTAGAGCACCTTCCTGTATATGCTCCTTACACAATCCAAAATCAGTTAACTTAATATGTCCTTCTGAATCCAATAAAACATTTTCCGGTTTTAAATCTCTAAAATTATTCATTACAAGAATTATTAATTCAATGCTATATACAAAAGTAAAGAAATATATCTTAGTAACTCTTGACACATAACACATGACATATACAATTTATTAGAAAGAAAATATGCAGTACCTGTATATAATTCCTTGCAAGTGGAGATGTTGCAAAGCCAATGTAATTTCACATAAATAAAAGCTGTAAAACAAGTAAAAGACAATAGTATACATGTTTGTAAAACATATTTTAAAATGCATTTATAATTCGCTTACCGTGCAGCGTCTTCCAAAAAAACTCCTTCATCATCTAATTGCCGAAATAGTTCACCGCCACACATATATTCCAATATCAGATATAATTTGTCACCAGTTTGGAATGCGTACTTAAGATCTACGATAAAAGGATGCTGCCAGAAGCAAGAATCAATATATAAATTGATACTTTGCATAAAATATAATAAATATAGAGAAGTTAATAGGGAATTAATTTGTTAAAATTTATCTAAAAGATATTAGTTTATAAATTTAAAGTTACTAATTATAAAGATCTTTTCTTTCTAGTATTTGAAAGATTATACATGTGTGTATATAAACTGTTTGCACAATCTGAATATTCCAATTAAATTTTTTAGCAGATAGAAATAACTAACCTTTATAGACTCCAAAATATTTCTTTCGGTTTTAGTGTGATCTGTATCTTTCTGATTTCTTATAATTGAAGCTTTGCGCAATACCTGTTGAAATGGTACACAAAAATATTTTAGATAACTGAAGAAAAGTTATGCATAAAAAAATAGTGTGTATATATGTGTGTATTTAAAAAAATATATATTATATATATGTGTAATAAGATTAATGTACTATCATTCTAAAGATAAAACTATAAAAACTAATTGAATTGATTTCGTAATTGGAAAATTTATGTAAAATTTCTAATAAATATGTTCAAATTATTAAAATACACTATAAATGTCATATAAATATACCATAAAATGCTCATCGAATAATAAGAAGAACATGAAATGCAAAATTGCATAATTTTTATACAGTATTATGTAATAAGGTGAAATAATGAGATATCTCCCTCTCTCTCTCACACTCTTAAATTTTTGATGCTATTGCAATTCTTTACTCAAAAGAGTATATATCTTTTTTCTTTTCTTTTGTTTTTTTGTATTTGTTTTCTTTTTTTTTTTTACAGACATGATACTCTGGAGCAATAGATAATATGTGTAAACAGATTTCTATACCTTCATTGCAAAGATCGTGCCACTGTCATTTCCTGTTACTTTGCGTACTTGGAAGACCTTGCCGTAACCGCCTTTCCCGATAACTTTGCACAACTCAAAATCTTGCGGCCCGACCTTCTCGCGTTCGCGGTTGACATTTTGCTCGCATATCGGCACCGCTTCCACGCTTCCGACGTCGGAATTGTCGGACGAACTGCGAAAAATCGTAAGTAAAATATCTCCTCTCGTCAGTTCCAAAATATATCAAGAGGGTGAGAGGATCCCGTAGGCGACCGCGTGCTCTCGCAACGCGAGACACGCGCGCGGCTCTTTACTCACTTTGCAATCCCGCTCGGATCGGCATCGCCCTCCTCCTGCGACAGAAAAACAGATGCGGCGTTAAAAGCGTTCACGTGTTATCGCCCGCGATATTAACGCGAGGAGGGGAACGGAGGATCGGGATTTTCGGGACTGAGGAAAGTCGCGTGAAGAAATCGAGCCTTACCGCGCCGAACTCGATGACATCGTCGTCATCCGACTCGTCTCTTTGCAGCAGCCCAGCGTCCTGCAGCTCGAAGTCGAAGATCGCTGACATCGTGCTAGCTGGATTAATGTGTTGACGTTGCTGGCCGCGAAAAGAGTGTCAATCTTGCGCGTCGAACGTGCTCGTCAATTGATTCGTACAAATCAGTGGAACAGTTTAGCACGAGCGTACTCTCGTTACGTCAAGCCAAGTACTCTCGTTCACTCTTCACTCTCGTTCGCGGAATGCAATGCCGGATTCGCCAGAACGGTCTTGTCGCAGCCACGCCGACGAGATGGGGGAAGCGTGATTCACCAATCACGTCACGTCTCCCACGCTGTGATTTTACGCGGCAATTTTGAATCTGTCGCATCGTAATTGGAAAATTTATGTAAAATTTCTAATAAATATGTTCAAATTATTAAAATACACTATAAATGTCATATAAATATACCATAAAATGCTCATCGAATAATAAGAAGAACATGAAATGCAAAATTGCATAATTTTTATACAGTATTATGTAATAAGGTGAAATAATGAGATATCTCCCTCTCTCTCTCACTCTTAAATTTTTGATGCTATTGCAATTCTTTACTCAAAAGAGTATATATCTTTTTTCTTTTCTTTTGTTTTTTTGTATTTGTTTTCTTTTTTTTTTTTACAGACATGATACTCTGGAGCAATAGATAATATGTGTAAACAGATTTCTATACCTTCATTGCAAAGATCGTGCCACTGTCATTTCCTGTTACTTTGCGTACTTGGAAGACCTTGCCGTAACCGCCTTTCCCGATAACTTTGCACAACTCAAAATCTTGCGGCCCGACCTTCTCGCGTTCGCGGTTGACATTTTGCTCGCATATCGGCACCGCTTCCACGCTTCCGACGTCGGAATTGTCGGACGAACTGCGAAAAATCGTAAGTAAAATATCTCCTCTCGTCAGTTCCAAAATATATCAAGAGGGTGAGAGGATCCCGTAGGCGACCGCGTGCTCTCGCAACGCGAGACACGCGCGCGGCTCTTTACTCACTTTGCAATCCCGCTCGGATCGGCATCGCCCTCCTCCTGCGACAGAAAAACAGATGCGGCGTTAAAAGCGTTCACGTGTTATCGCCCGCGATATTAACGCGAGGAGGGGAATGGAGGATCGGGATTTTCGGGACTGAGGAAAGTCGCGTGAAGAAATCGAGCCTTACCGCGCCGAACTCGATGACATCGTCGTCATCCGACTCGTCTCTTTGCAGCAGCCCAGCGTCCTGCAGCTCGAAGTCGAAGATCGCTGACATCGTGCTAGCTGGATTAATGTGTTGACGTTGCTGGCCGCGAAAAGAGTGTCAATCTTGCGCGTCGAACGTGCTCGTCAATTGATTCGTACAAATCAGTGGAACAGTTTAGCACGAGCGTACTCTCGTTACGTCAAGCCAAGTACTCTCGTTCACTCTTCACTCTCGTTCGCGGAATGCAATGCCGGATTCGCCAGAACGGTCTTGTCGCAGCCACGCCGACGAGATGGGGGAAGCGTGATTCACCAATCACGTCACGTCTCCCACGCTGTGATTTTACGCGGCAATTTTGAATCTGTCGCATGCTACTTTGGAACAAAAGAAATCTTTCATTCATATGTTACGTAATAAATGTGTATTTTTATGCATCTAATGATAAATGAAGATTTTAATATGCAGTAATCGTGTTTTTATATCTTTCACATACTTGTCGTGCTTCTATAAATTTTTTATCAGGATTTATCGTTACACTCTTATATCTATGAAATACATAATTTATTGAATGTACTAAAATAGATTAAATTGATTGCGCTTCGAATATTAACTTTGAAAAGTGCCCTGCCGATATTTATTTCATACTTTTTCGTAATCTTTTGTTTGGATCAGCTTTGTGTTCTCTCTCTCTTTGTTTCGAAGAAGTATATCCTATGTCGAATTCCTGGAACGTAAACACGTCATGTGCTCGAATAAAGATCACCGAGCGACACGCGAAGTATCTATAGATATACATATACTAACGGATTGTGTAATTTTGCGAAATCATGATCACGATCAGATATATCGAATTTTATTCGAGCGAGAGATCTTTGCTCAACAAGGGAATTATTAAGAGCACGATTTATCGATATTATCAATACAATTTATGAAATATTATCGGAATATGCGACACACACACACACATATGCGCCGAGATAATATCTTTTACAATTAATTACGAAATGTGTAAAATCCCATCGTGCTATGTATGTATGTATCGTAGATAAAAACGGAGATAACACCGAATAGCTCCTATAAAATATAGAATTTCACGCACTTTTCACTTGTCACCCATCTTTCTGGCGAGCCCGATCAGTGAGCGCGATTTGTCAAAGATGGTACGGCGTCTTCATCTGCAGGGATACGAGAGTTTTGTCAAATATGTAGACGATCTGGGAACCGCGGAACAGGTGTATGTACTTTACACCGGCACGAAGCTATCCGATACCGGCAAAAGCTGGTGTCCGGATTGCGTGGAAGGTGAGTGAATCTTACACGAGGATGCCTACATAACCTACATTTTTTTTTGTGTGCGTATTTCGCGTACATATTTCTATTACTAGAATCACATATATGTCAAAAATATCGGCGATGTTCAGATTTTGACAAGTAGAGAATGTTACATAATTGAATAATGGAAATAAAAATATTTCGTTTAGGATGCATTTCTCGAAAATAAACTTATTAATATTATTGGTTTTGGAATAAACTTTTTTTTTGTTTATTGATCACAAATTTCGCGCTAAAATATAAAGCTACAATCATCGAAGAATTGGAAAAATGTAGTAAAGACCGTTTGCGTTATCTGGATTTGAATCAGCAATTTATTATCTGATTTTAATTATCGTTATATGTATCATTATTGTTACATACAAAAAAAAAAAGAAAGCATAAACATATTATTATTGATATAGTGAGATTTTAAGTATTCACTTTATTTCATTTCAGCTGATCCATTTATTGAACAAGGTTTTGAAACGGCACCTGAAGGAACACAGTTAGTAATAGTGGAAGTTGGGGACAGATCATTGTAAGTAAATAAGATGTTTTACTTTTATACTTTTGCAACTATTATTTTTAGATAAATTACTGTAAATATTTTTGTACAGTAATAACTGCATCAATTATAATTGCATTTATTAATAACTGCATAAAATTATATAAAAAGCTAGATAAAAAAAAAGAAAAGTTATAAGACAAAAGCTCTAGAATATCTTTCGTATGTTATCCTAGTTGGAAGGATCGTGATTGTCCATTCAGAACAAATCCTATTACCAAGTTGAAAGTCTTGCCAACTCTAATTAAATGGAATACTGAAAAACGTTTAGAGGGTGATCAATTGCTAAAACCTGAACTTATTGATATGTTAATCACAGAAGATGATTAAGTATAATACATTTTTTTGTATTTTATATAAAAAGTATATTGTACATATCACGTGAATTATAAATATTCTATGCAAACATTACACTCTTATATCCCATATATTTTTCCATTATCCAGCTTTAAAGAAACGAATATTAAATTATTATGCTTTATGTGTGCATTTACATATTTTAATTACTATTGCAATAAAGATCAATTTAATTTTTTAAATAACGACGAATTAAGATATTAATGGATTACATAACTGTGGTTTTAAATCTATAAATTATAAAAGAGGTTTATACCTTCAATTTTTTTTGGATTTATATCGCGAAACCTATAATATTAATATTCGTTCGCGAAATCTTATTTAGCCTAATCTATTCGAAACACTGTGTCCTATAAAACTACAAGTATAACTATAATTTTAAATTTCTTAATATGAAACCTGCTTGGAACTATGCAATCGGTGCCATTTTCTTTAAATCTTCCGTCGGTGGTAACACACGTACGGAATAGTGAACTTTCTTATTCCTCAAAAAGCTGTAAGTATTATCGAAGACGATGGAATCTAAAACAAATAAATTTATATAGATGACATCTCCTTCGTTGTTATTGTTATTCATTCTAGTGCTCCAACAATGAGCTTACAGATAGCCGGATCTTCGCAGGTCAATATCCCTATTTCGTCCGATTGATGGGATGCGACTCTTCGAATAGGTATAACTTCTGTCTGCGTACCATTTGCGGTGTCCTTCTTTAAAATCCCAAACTTAATGTCGTGACCTTCGCTTCGGAATTCCCAGCTACACAAAAACGAGTCAAAATTGATTTGAAAAAAAATTGAAAATGCAGTCTTGATAAGGAAAATTTACCTTAAAATGGAGCCTTTTTCGAGTGTGGAGATATCGAATTCTAGCTTTTTACCTTTTCGAACGGTAACGGTAGTATAATCGTCGTTTGATTTATCCATATTGTTGGTATACATTTCTTTAGGTATCTTACCACCTTGACAAATCTGGCAACAATCTCAATTATCATTCTCTGAGATGAAATATGTAATGAATTAATAATATTTTACATTTAAAGAAGAAAATTTCATTTTTTAAAATAAATAAATGCATTTTATATAAAGCAAACGAAATGCAAGAGTTAATGGTCGAAAATTAAATTTTTTGATAATTCCAGACTTTATTTTTCTTTAATATAAATTTAAGTAAGGATACTAAAGTTCTTAATAAGTTGAATATATTTTATAATATATCCTAATGTTTAAGATTAATTAGTAATTTATGTATACACATACATATTGTATGTGTGTGTGCGTGTGTGTGTGCGCGCGCGCGCGCGCGTGTGTGTGTGTGTGTATATATATATATTATTTATGTAAATATTATTAATTTAAATATTATTAATAAATCATTCCGATGAATCATGCATAATTTCAAGAGAAAGTTGGATCGATTAAAATGTTACCTTCGAAGTTAATCTCGGATTGCCGTCTGGGTCACATAATGTTCCACCGAAATGAGCGGGTAACTGGTCCTTTGGAATGACCTTCAGTATCACCGCTTGCCATTTGGACGGGTCGGCTTTGTAAATTTGTATTTTCGATAATGTATATTCATTCATAAACTTCTTGGTAATGGAAAATGCAAAAGCGAAAACTCTTGGAGCTGTAACAATAGTTCTAAATTCATTTTTTTCTTCTTTTACAGCATAAATTAATTCCAGAATTAGCCGATTTGAAGAAAAATTACATCGTAAAAAATAAAAATATTTTATTAAAATTACAATATATTATTTTAGGAATTAATCGCTAATATATCGCTAACATAAGCCATGAGGTAAATTTTCTAATTCTTATCATGCCGATTCAAACGTAAAATATAAAACATAAAATTTAAAAGGCATGTAAGAAAGTGTTAAAATGTTTTTTTTAGATATTCGTTGCGAGCGATTTTGTTTTCTTTCTCTTGACCGATAATACGTGAAAATCTATCTACATCTGTTTCATTGCAAACGGTATATTGCTAATCGTATATTATTAATCGTCTATAATTCTGTTGAACCTACCGTTGATGATAAAGCATGTTTTTAGAATTTCGGGATAATTCGCTTCGTACATTTGAATAAGTGTTAGGACCAATTCGCCAGCTGTAACATAAGGGAGCGATAACAATAACATAAGATAACAATAGAAGAGAAAGTTGTTATGTACAATAAAAAATAACGAGAAACTTTGTATCGAAAAATTTCCGAAGCATACCCGGTTTTACCTGAGATATTTTACCTGGTCTCCATAAATATTGCTTAAGATTAAATCCGTCCATATCGAAAATGACAGTTAGTTGATTTGCAACCTGTCCGTGCTTCTTGGATTGTTCTCTGGCTAGTTTCAAGTAATGATCCAAGATTTTTATCGTAACTTTGACATATTCCTGCGGGGTTATCACGTGTAACATTCCGTATATATCCATTCCGGCAAACGGTACGATGATGACTGCAACAATTTATTCTTTATACACGTATGCTTATCTTTGCATTCTCTCCGGTTTACATACGAAGAAAACGATATACTTTTTATAAATTCACGATCAAAAATATTTTTCTTTTTTCAAGAAGGGTGTTGAAATAGGGTCAAAATTTGCCTGTAATGGAAATGTATGAAATGTATCTATTATTTTTATATTCGTATTTACTCTATTATCTTACTATATCCCCGCAGTAATAGAAGAAAAATGTGTATGCGAGATACTACATGAATAATGAAAAAAATAGGGAACGCAGCGTGAGTCTGCAAAGCATAGAACCATAAAAATGTAGAATTTCGGTAAACATGAGCAGCATCCTCCCTCCCCCCCCCCTTCCCTCTTTCTCTTCCAAAAACATCAATAAAAGAAGACTTTTATTATTCAGTTACCATTTATTCATTAGAAAATATTTGCTGCAAAACGAGACTTTCCTGTAGAACAACTGCATTTTCACAAAGTTTCTTGGATTTTAGACAATTTTAAGGTTCATATTCGAGAGTTCAGCAAGCCCAAAAATATAAAGATAGATTGATTTCATAAATTACCCTTACAGACAAATTTTGATCCTATTTCAACAACTCTTATGTAATTGGATTTGTTTATATGAAAAATTTAAGAGTGAAAATATTTACACCTATTGTCGCTAAGAATAAACACTGTTCTCGTAACAATGTTTTTCCGTCAACCACTTAAAGTCACATTTTATAACGCAATTTTTTTCAAGTTTGTTTTTTATTTTATTGTTATATATCTCTAAATTCAAATAAACGTGTAAAATGTAAATATTTATAATTAATGCTAAGAATCTAAATAATACACAATGCAATATATATAATTTAACAAATTTAGATGGAACCATTATAATAATAATCTTGTTATTTTTACAAGGATTCTTTTAGAATCAATATTTAAAAATTGTTCTCAAAGTCTAAGATAGAGTAGAAACTTGTTTAATTTGCAATGGAATAGAAACTTTTTTAACAATTTTTATTCTCTATTTTCGAATAACAAAATTATTCTTTTCGTTAGAAAGCTACGAATGTTTAAACGTTTATCTTGTTATAACAATCAAAGGGATTAATTTGAAAAATGATAATATAGGATGATGCATCTTGAAGCAACGGCCATATTCTTTCCATGCATATATATATATTTCATATAGGGAAAAGTATACTGGTTGAAAGTAAGAAGGAGACCTTGACCAGATTCTTTACCAAAATATTGAAACTTGTTGCGTTCCACGCTCTCAAGTATGTTGATCGTTATATTTGCTACCAAATCGAACCAGCCGCATAAGCGGCCAGGAGCAGACTTTTATTTTTCCGCTGTCGTATCCATATGTTTATAAATGTATTATATCTGACGTATATATACGATATTTTCATTATAATTATAATATATCGATGACATCCAAATAAATTTGTCAGTAAATTTTTTGTATATTTAATACGTCTTTCGATGATTTATGTGTGAATCTTTTTGCACAATAAAATCTTTTAAATTATATTGGTTCGGTCAGAGTTATCATACTTGTTTTATAATGTTATAATAATGTTATAAATATCGACAATTATACTGTTACAATATAATAACGTAAATTGATAAATAACAATATAATTTAAAGCAATTCGTGGATTTGTGTAATATTCAAAGATTAATGATCTTGATTTTAATAAAATTAAAAAGATCTTACCTGGGGCACCATCTTTATCGAATCCGCTTAATCCATAAGGGAAGTAAGACTTTACCATTGGAGGAAAATCCCATTCAGATAAATTATCAGCATCCCATTGTTTCCGCCAATCTAAAGACTACGAATAAATTTTTTTTCATAATATGTTTATCGTTATTTAATTATCACAAAAGTACGTGAAATTAAACGATACAAATGAAGATTATGAAAATTATCAATGAAACTTGATAGGAATTATGATTCCGACACGATATAAATTTTTCTGAATGTTTTTTACAATTTATACTTATTGTTAATGATTTCGTAATGACAGGGTTTCACGCAGGATAGAAAGTGAAAAAGAGTGTAATTTCCTATACGAAGAGATTACTATAGATGATACTAGCCACTTTGCATTATGTACCCACGGTTTTCAATCATCGTGAAACTTCTCTAAACGAGAATCGAGATGGTGACTTTGAACATGCTTCAAGGAATCGCCTCATTACTTTCGACTCACAAAATAGCACAGTACAGAGAACGACTTTCTATTTCGCATAAAACATCTTCCAGAACAAAAAAGCGAAACCGTCGACAGCGATTTATAATCTTCAACATCTGACATCTGAGTGTCCGGAAGAGAGTCCTTTCATTTATTTATTCACACGTAAATTAGCTATAATTATTTTACACAGACTGATTTGATTGCTATTTAAAAAAAACATTATTATTGTTATATCTTTTACATTATGAAATATTATTTTACAAAAAATACAATCTATTAAGTTATATATTTATTACTAAACATGTTTATTGTTATCAAATTAAAGAATTATTTATAAAAGGAAATTTAATTTGTAATTCATTTATCTTCATTCAATTTACAATATTTTTGGAATAATTATATTCATTGTTAAGAGTTAAACTTCAAAATAACATATTAATCTTAGTAGAATAATGTTTAATTTGGGAAACGGATGAAGGTTTCTCATCAAAATGTAACAAACAGAATCTTCAAGGGGCAGCGAGCCGTAACGTGGCTCGCGCTATGTTTACGCCCGCCGCGTTAATATTTAATGGCTTGCGAATAATACACGAGGTAGAGAAATTTAAAAGGCTCGGTGACCGGAACGTGTTTCACCAGACTTTCTCAATTGGATTCGCCTGTGTTTTGTACAAAGCGAATGTTAAGCCTAATCTGTGAACGAGGGTTGAATACGTAATCGACACCTAGTGACCGTGTAACGTAAAATGTATATGTGCGTCTTGTTTACTACGTGATGTGTAGAATATGATATATAGAGTAAGATGTATGGATTTCACAGTCCTATATACATATATGACTGTGAGATCCATAAATTAGATATGTTCTGACATAATTACTTACATCTCTCAACATCTTTTCCGCCGCGGTAGGATCCCATTTTCTCGCTGAAAAATAAATATAAATTCGAGAATGAGAAATTGCGCTAAATCACATGTATATATAAAAGATATTTCTATATATCTATAATACATATTTTCCTATTTTATCCATATTTCCATATTTATTCATATTTCCATATTTTAGTAATAAAACTTGATATTATACAAATGTGATAGTATTAAAATCAATAAGTAGAATTTTCATTTTAAATATAAAATCACTACATTTTAAATGAAATCTAAATCTCATTGTCAGTTAAATGCAGTTGCTGATCGCCTAAACTCGCGTCAAGAGATTTTCCATCGTTCAATAATAAAATACGTTACGTAGTTTGACGTAAATCACAGTTCACCGTTAATAACCGATAATCCTGAGCTTCCGCAAATTTCAAAACAATTTAATTACTTCGCAAACATTGCTTCAGTAGACGCGAAATGGAAAGCTGATGGACATAACATCAATTAATAACGATGCAAATGTTGCTCACGATGCGCTAGACATTGCGCTGTACATTGTGTACATACACATTAAGGGATAACACTTATCAAAATCACAAAGTGTGTTTCCTTCGATGTTATTAATACATTGTCAGACTCGTACCTCTCAACCAACGAACCAGAAAATGATCATCGTGATGTGGTTGCAAGACATCTTGCACGGATCGCCTGAACTAAAAGAAAAGCATATCTATATATTTTTTTTACATGCATTATCCAATAATAATATCAATATTAAAAGTGATTGATTACATAATTTAACATGATTTCTGATAAGATCATGATATCTATGATGTTGCGTGCGAGCTACACAACACAAAAGAAATTCTGTATTTATAAATATATATTATAATATATTTTCATATGTTCAGTTATATGCGCGTACAAAATGCGGCTAATTTTTATTTACGTTGTACATATATTTACGCTAAATATTTTATTTAGATTTTTTATTTTATTTACGCTTTTTCCGGAAAGTGGTGGCGTTTTTTGCGTGTCGATTTTGTTTATTTTGCCAACGACAAAGTTTTTGTATGCACAATTATTATTTACAGGAAATACAATCGTCATGTGTCGTGTTAGACGCAAGGAAGTGAAATTTCCTTGTCGGCTCTCTAAATTATCAATGTTGTCTCCATACTAACATACGGTCCATATTGACTTGTTACAAGCAAACCTTCATTAAAGTGTCTACGTTTACTTTCACTGAAAACTTTAGGAAATCAAAGAGAATACAGAATTTGGTATGGTACCATGACGTAGTATTTACTTCCTATAAATGTTTTCTTGTATATGTTTATTATTTATTTTATTAATTCTGCTCATATAAACGATTGAAACTGAAAAGATTTTCCGCAAACAAAACCTCAGAAATTTAACTAGATCAAAATTAAACAAAAAGATTTTTTTAAATCGAATTATTAAAATTATTAATAAGTTAGTAAAGAAAAAGTTTTAAAATTTAATGAAAACAACTATGAGAGAATAAATGCAGCTAAAATAATTAAAAAAAAAAAAATGGAATATATGTATGAATGGATTCCAAATTCGTATTTGTACATAATTTTGATACATCAATATTTGATGACAAGTATTATTATTATTAAATGATAATCAATATATATCAATTAATCTCTTGTTTTTATTAAATGCGGGAGCGTTTTTAGCACAATAGCTCAACGAAATTAAAGCGTAATGCATGCGCCGTATTAATTGAATACGAAAACTTTTTTTGGAAAAACAGCTGAAATATAAATTTTTTAAATTATTCTATGTTATAAATCACGATTATTCTATCATACATAACGAATTATTATATACAAAATAATAATATAAATAATATAAATAATAATAAATAATGATATGTGGTACGTCGTCTCTTGTGTAATAAAATAACGGCATATCATGGTATAAATTCCATATAATCGATAGATAAAAACAGAGAAAAATACGCAAAGGTGAAAAGGATCGGCATCTCTTATACGTCACGTATGATTATTCGATGGCGAATAAACCGGTTCCTCTCCTGCCAAACAGACTTGGATTTGCCTACGCGTAATTTTTATAGATCCGCGTATCGCGTATTTAAGCAAAGTTAAGTCGTTAAGTGTATTGTTTTGTTTGCGTTTTGCAAAAGATATGATAAAACGTTTGATATTAATTTTTTTTGTAAAGTCGAGAGATATTACATGTAATCATTCATCTTTATTCTATGAATTATAACATCGAAAGAAAAATCGTGCGATTGATTTCCGCTTATTATGAATAAATCTCTTTGTTTCGATAATAAAAACCTCTGTAAAGCAAAAAATCTTCTCATTTAATCATGACCTCATGTCTCATTTTGATACGTTACATAAATATTCCTGCTACAATCAGAACTAATTGTAAGATACTATCAAAGAGATAGCGAAATTTAGAAATATTACAAATTAATTTGATTTCTTTAATGAAAATATGCTTTAAAAAACGACAAAATTATTATTCTTTATCTTACTTAGTATTAAAATATTTACTAATTTCATTATTATCAATAATATGAATTATTTCATCGTGTTGTCAATTTGTATAAATCATCAAATTCTTATTTAAAGATTTTTAGATAATTGTGAGAGAGTAGAGAGATATAAATCTCAAAAATCATAGCGCGTCTGCTAAATTTTCGATTCGATATAATTTTTATATCTTTGTTCCTACCTCGTACATCGAGCTAATAACTTCTACCGCAAATTTCTGCGTCTACTGAAGTTTCTACCACATTATATGCGATTGCTTCATCCACCCAGGGCAAGTTGAGGAAAAGTCATTTTACGCGAATGCACGTCGCGAGAGTTATTTCACCTATCGGATTTTCGCGCGTATCCGATGTTGTAATTCAAGACGGCGGATTTATGTATTGAGGATCTTTTAAAGTATGTCGCGCGAGATCTGCGTGTGCCCGATTGTTCTCGTGTCGTATGCCATGACTGTCATAGTAGGCTCATGAAAGTGTCGTCGCACTTACTGTCGATGACAGGACGTTCCTTTTCATTCGATGAAAAAAAAAAGACGATTGACTCGACCGATTGAAGCTGGCCAAAATGTACTAAATTTTATTTTACTAATACTAATAGATCTATCCACTATCTACTTCTTATTAAAATTTTGTGATTAGAAGACAAAATATATTACAACAACAAGATAATAAGTATAATTTAATAGAAGGTGGTCGAAAATTGGCGAATCAGGTTTTTTAAACGTTTTTTTGTTAACGAATTAATTTAAGAAAATATTGACTCACAAAGCGAAATATTTGAAGTGAAATATAAGTCAAATAACTTTTTCTCGCGATCGATGCAAAAAGCACAATCGTCAATTTCTTTTTCGTGATTCGGTGCATCTTGCAGCTTGAAATAAGTAGCTGGTTGCCTGCTACTTGTTCCAGATACCGAAGGTGAACGATCACCAGATTGTAAGGAGTAAAAGCAATCTACGCGCAGTGAAATCTTTTCGCCGTATTGCGAATAACGAAATTTTTAATTTTATTAAGAAATTACGTCAAACCTGGTTAAACCTGATTTGTGCAGGAATTTTTTCTGAATTATTGTGTATGTGTGTATATATATATATAGAAGCTCTTTTTTCACAATAATTATATTGTTTTGATAGGATGTTATAAAATTAACATTTATTCCCATAATATTTTATTTTAAATAGTAAAGTTTTACATACATATAACATCGTGTAATTAAATCATTCTTTTTCTCTTTCGAATAGTAATAATGTCTAAGCGGCAGAAAATATTCTTTATTTTAATGAAGAAAGAAATAACTATTTACTTTATCTTATTCCCTTATGTTATTCGTGACTTTCAATATAGATGGAATGTCTTCAATTTATATAAAAACATTTTATAAATAATAAAATTTTATTAGTGACTGTTTTTCTCTTTTTATTAAAACAAAAGAAAAATTAGTTTTTCATTATAAAGTTCATAGAAGGTCATTTATAACGATTACAAGTATACGCGGATACTTATTACACGTGCAGCTGATCGCGAATCAATAACTTCATATCTATGTGCGTGCTCTTTGGCATAATAAAACACATTATTCTTGTCAAGTACTCGATAAATGTTTATCTTTTGTATTTATGTCATGTCTAGTAGCAGTTGTAACATTGTGTCGATATGTATTATATTATTTACATGATATTGATATTTGTATCAACTTGACAGATATATCAGATCGCGCACATTGTTCTCTCTCCGAGTCGGTTTAAAGATATTATATATATATTTGTTTGAAATTTCCAAAAAGATAATATATTCTTTCTGTGTAATATATTTCGATATCTCGTTTGATATAAAATAACACATAAAACTCGAAAAGTCGGAGTAATAAACAGTGTTACGTGACATATAAGAAAAATATTTTTCATATATTTTTTAAATATCACGGTATTAATATAATATTTATTTCTTTCATTATTTCGAAATAATGCTCAGTTTCGTCCTTAAAATGAAGTTTCAATCATTATTAACATTTACTTGTTTTTTAGTAAAAAATTCATTGTTATTATTCGATAAAATTCAATAAAAAGAAGATTCAGAAATATTTCCAAACGAATATTATTAATCTGCATAAATATTCAGATAGTTTTTCACAATCTGCGAATACTAAAAATGATCGTTGCCCGGATATATTTATTTGAGAGATCTTATACGAGATCTTTAAATGTCTTCACGATTTATTAAAAGAGTTGATGCGAGATTTATTTGGATTCTTTTAATTTTTTACATTTGTCAAATTATTTCATATTTATTGATTAATTAAAAAGAGATTATTGCATTATTTTTATAAACAAAATAATTCAGGGATATACATTTTTAATTTTTTGAGGAAAATAACTTCATATAGCTTGTCGATTTTATATTAAAAAATTATCTATATTGTTTGTGTAACGAGAATAAATTCAAATATTCCGTTCCCATTTGTTGCATATATGTGATTTGACCTCTTTTTAATTTGCATTTATAATTATAAAATACATTATCTCTGAAGAAATTAAAGATTGCAAAAAATATGAATAATATTAACGTTTAAGTGTTTACGTCATATGTATACATATCACTTAACGTTAGAAAAATACATGAGATGTGATAATTGCATATTTTAATGCTTCTCATTGTCAGTGGATTCGCAAATGGATTGCTATCTCTAAATAAAACGTGATGTAAAATTCGACGATATTTAATATTTAATATATTTCTAAAATGCATCATCTCTTCACTACTTACTTTCATTAGTGCAAATCGCTGATCGTCTGCTAATTTCAGTGATGTTGACATTCTTGCTATTTGAAGATTGTTAACGATTTGATTCTAATTTTAATGTCCCTTCAGCCGCTCCTCGATCAACAGTCGATTTCTTCGGCTTTCAAATTCCCGGAATTGATGTCCTTTGTGTCGATAACTATAATATTAAATAAATATATGCGTCTAACGTTATCAATTAATGGAGCATAATCGAGATATTTTTATATCGAAATACAGAACATATATCTTTTCATATATATGTGTAGCTTTATATATCTTCAGATAACATGAAAGAAACTTTTTAGTAGAGAATAAATGTATTACTTTTGATAATAACACAGCAATAGATTCAGGGTAAGAACAATTAAGTGGGAAAACTGGCAGATAAGAGCCAAGGCACGGGTCGGTGCGCGAACTTATTATTGTTAAATTTTATTAACTAATATGTATTAAAAATGTATGTTCCGGACTTTTTTTGGTCCATCTTCAGCATGAATATAAATATATAAAGATTAAATTGGAATTTTAAAACTTGACATACATAACATTTGCAGTTGCATTTTTAATTTGTAATTTGAGTGCAATTACAAATGTTGTGTATGTCAAGTTTTAAAATTCCAATTTAATCTTAATATATTTATATCTATGCTGAAGATGGACCAGAAAACGGTCCGAAACGTACATTTTTAATGCACATTAGTTAATAAAATTTAACAATATAAAATTCGCGCACCGACATTCGCGCTTTGGCTCTTATCTGCCAGTTTTCCCACTTAATCGTTATTATTTTTTATAATGTATTTATCGATTTATCAATTATTATAAATAGCAGATTACATACAGATAGATTTTTCGTATTTGACAAACACTTGATAACGTATATGATAATTAACATTATAATATAAAATGTATTAGCCAATCAAAATTTATTAATAGGATCACAGTTTAAGAAGAGTATTAATTATTTCTTATCTTATCTGTCTCAATAACATCCATCGCAGAAATTATGAAGGAAAATTTCTAAGAGGCACGCACATTACAGAATTTGCATACATTATGATTTTTCACACATCTAAACCGCAATTCATGCACATTGTAATAGCTTCTTAGATTGCCGTTACTCATTATTCATTATCATGTTTGATATATAAACAGGAAAGTTCAAACAATATTTCTTTGCAATATCGTATGCGATAAATATTAATGCTACAGCGCACATAAATTAATGATTTGTTATTAAACTATTATCTCAACACAATTATTATTATCTCAATAACTTTCATTGGTCCATCTTTGTAAACAGCACACAATATCCTCAACACTTTGCAAATATTCAAACGTCTTTTAGACTGAACTTGGTTACCTCAATTATTACCCGCGCGCAAAATGTTAATCACGATTTTAGCGTATAGTTAAAATAGAGGATATAGTATAAACAATTTCTTTTTTTTTTTATAGAAAATGTCGTAATATGTCAAACGTCTTTCACATGCTTTTTGAAAATATTTCCTCTAGACGTAACATTATCAAATTACTATTTACAAGTATACGCACCTCTGATGCTTACCGTATTCGAAATACGGTACCAAGAAGAGCTCTTCAATTAAGATTCTTGAAAACCGCGAGCGCGCTCTTAATCCGGCGAGGCCGCTGTCAAACTGACAGTCTTATTCACTTGACAAAATTTCGGGAACTCCCTTAGATCCGCGATCGCGAACTGTTCGGCGTCGACTGTATTCACTGATCGATGCAACAGGTATCCACCACGCGGCGGTCACGTTGTGTGCGTGCGCGCTCACGTCCATCCGCTCACTCGACACACGATTTCGCTCGCTATAAAGGTAGGATAGATGTATCGTCGCGGAGCGAGCGGTACCGAAGCAATGATACCAGCCGCCGTTCCCCGGCGATGGCGAGTTTCCAAGCCCGACGCCCCACCATATCACCGCGATTACCTGACCTGATCTGACCTGTCTTGGACGTCCGATCTCGCGCGGTCAGCTCGAGCTGGTGCTTGCGACGAGAATCGCGGATTTTCGTTCGCAAACTCGATTGACAAGGCCAATGATTCCCAGTTTGCGTTTCGACATCACAGCCACCGGATAGGCATGTGTCCGGCATTAGGCACCCATCAACGGAATGAGGTTCACCTCGGTGCGACACGAGTACGTTGTGCTCTGGCGACGATGTAGCGTCGAATTGAAGCTAAATGCGAGCGCGACGATACGTGAGTATGTAGTCGCTATTCTTCCTAGAGGTAGTCCGCGCTTACTAATCCCCATCATTGTTTGTGTCACGTCCTATCACGATTACAACATTTTTGCAGCTCGATTTCGAAGGATGGATGACGTTAATGTTTCGTCCCTGAACTATTTGTGAACACGTATTTCACTCTTATATGTCTCTCTTCTCTTTACTAATATATTGGCTGTTGTAGTGTGAAGCAATATAATGAATCCTTGATATTCAGCTTGCTGTATTAATTATGAACATCTCTGTGTGGAAACAGAATCGTTGTAAATCACCATATATAGACATATCTATATCGAACATGTTTCGCAATAATATTTATATTCTATATTTAATGCTGAATGTACTTGTTCACATTTCACATTATATCTAATACGAAGATCACATTCATTTTTAAATGAAAGAGCAAAAGAATTTGTGAGTTTGTACGATCACATTTAGGGTTAAATCATTGTACGAGTAAACTTTTGAAAACTCACCGTAGTGCTTTAAAAGGAGAGATTGTTAGCTATAAAATCATATCGAGTTTTCTGATCGCTGTGTCTTTCGTAAAACGTATCCGACATAAGGCGGTTGTAAACGTGGCATGCTTGGCCTCAAGGTCGACTTAATGTCGGACAAGTCGAGTGTGCCGCTGCAATCATCCCTGGTTTCACTGTAATCATAAAAACGCATATTATTTTACAATGGGAGTAAAAATCGACGGAACTTTTATAGCCGACAAACTATGATCAGTATTAATACAAATATAGTTATAACGGTTCAAGTGAAACGCGTCACGAATTCGAATGAAAAAACATATATAAATGATTCAATAAAAATCATGAGCTCACTTTATATATTTAGAAGAGATTAGAATAATGAAGAACAAAAAATTAATTGCCATCAATATTTGATCGATGATGTTATGATCAGTTTTTGTTTTTCGTTGGCCTTTTCGCGTAGTTTCATATCGAAACATTGCAATTAGGATTGCATATTTAGAATGTAAATATACAAGAAAGATAAACATACAAGATTTTATCGTTAGGCAGAAATAAAATTATATGTATCTTTAATTAAATTTTGAGTTAAAATTAAAAGTCCACCAGAATCCTGCTGTATTTGTTAACATGCCGTACCTAATATATTTAATATATATTTAACACAATGAAATTTATATCGCATATAAATTCCTTTTTTGAAATTTCATTAAAATTAACCGCTCGTTAGATGCCTACATATATGTGCTATCAACATTTACTTACGACAATCAAATATACGATTCAACGTTGCGAATAACTTATCGTAAACAGAAGAAAATAGCGATAGATTAAAAATGGATAACCTCTGTTTATTTCGCCTCGTTAATTTGATTTATTTCCTATCATTTTCTTCGTGTGCTACTTCCGCTAAAACTAGCCGCAAACCGCATAATCCGTTATTCTCCGTATAATGAAGACACAAGTATCACATTCCAACGAGGTTTCCTTTTACTGGTGGCGTTATCTATCGACAAACGTCGGCATTCATTTCGCATTTTGAGCGTCGAGCTCAGTCGATCGCATTTAACTTCGTGCGACTGAATTTTGGAACCAGAGAAATAAATAATAAAATCAGAGAGGCCTTAATAAATAAAATCCTAGATTATAATAAATATAAAGCCAGGCCTTTTAATTAGAGCCATGAAATGTATGTCTTCCTTTAATCTCTCATTTCGTATTTCTGGCAACGTATCGAGCACCAACACTGAAACAGCAACAGATTTGAAAAATAACGTGACAAGCACAAATGGCGCGAAATTTTCAGTCACCATGTTTCAAAAATACCTGATTCTACGCAAATGAAAAGCCGCGCTTATTGATTACTTACTCTATAGATACAGCAAATTTGAATCTTATATTATATGTGTTTGCTAAGTGTGATAATAGTTTATACACACGCGGCACATATGTATTTAACTCTGGTGTGAAATATGCATGTGTGTCAGACACATGTGTCAGTTGTCAGTTCGACTACAGTAGCGCCACTTGACAGATCATACGGCGCGGTACGGTACTACTACGAGCGTAGCCGAGAGATCGTTTTCCGTACATAATCTATATATATATATA